CAGAGTTCAAGGCAACCAGCATGGCTACCACAACATTCTGCAGAAACACACCATCCCATCTGGTTTGAGCTCAGCGGGAACATCATTAGTTATTCAGCTAAAAACCCACCTGCATGCTCTGGGATAAGACCAATGAGCAGGATGATGGAGTGCTGCACCAGATGACCCGGCCTCCACAAACTCCCTTCTGAACCCAGCTGGGATGGTTTGGGATGAGCTGCAGTGCAGAGTGAAGGGAAAGCAGCCAACAAGTGGTCAGCATGACTTTTTGGAAAAGCTCCAGGTGATGGTGCTCGCTGAGAGAAAGGAGATCGTTCACAAGAGGTATCAAAGCTGAAGGTGGCAAGAATGTGCATTTAAAACATATGCAGGTTAAACATGATGTCATGAGTGGGCTTCTACAGTCTGGACGATACTTTCAAACACTGAAAAATTCCTGAAAGGTGCGTCTAAACTTTTGACTCTTGCTGTATAGCTAAAACAAAAGTGTTACCCTGTGCAGCTCCGCATTTACTTGATCTCTGGACTTGACACTGAAGAAACAGAGACTAAGCTACAGTCAGCTATTACCAAAGTTAAGTTCTTTTACTCACTGCCAGAAACATGCACTGAAGTGATGTATTGTTTTATTATACATCATATGTCTTGTAGGAAGTAGGAAGTAGGAAGATGGTTTTTGAATGTTGATCAGTTGAATAGACTGTGGGTATAACCTTGCAGTTTCCACCATGTATTTCACATGGTGAGTGTTGAATAGTCCCTACAGGAAACAACAACCTCCACGCTAGACAAGGCAAGTTGTGATGAAGAAGGAAGGGAGTGAGGATAGAATGCCATAAAGATCATAAACTGCCATGCTAACGCTTTGTGCGTCCAGCTCCAGAAATACACAAATATACTTTCATATCATCCATCCATGATCTTCCGCTTATCCAGCGTCGGGTCGCGGGGGCAGTAGGCGAAGCAGGTCATTCCAACCTTCCCTCCCCCAGACGACACGTTCCAGCTCTTCCTGGGACATCCCGAGGCGTTCCCAGACCAGCCGAAAGATATAATCCCTCCAGCGGGTTCTAGGTCTGCCCCTGCCCTTTCATATTAGAGATGATCTGGGAAGGCCATTCACATGTAGCATGTGTCCACCTGACTGAATGTCCATCCATCCATTATCTATACACCGCTTAATCCTCATGAGGGTCACAGGGGGCTGGAGTCTATCCCAGCTGATTTAGGGTCACCTACGGACAATTTAGAATCACCAATTAACCTCAACATGTTTTTGGACTGTGTAGGAGGAAGCTGGAGAACCTAGAGAGAACCCACGCTGCACGGGGAGAACATGCAAACTCCACGCGAACTGGCGACCAACAAAGTCGCTGTTGGCCTGGAAACAGAGCAGAATACGACATATTTCTTAATTATTTTACACGTCAGAACTTCTTGTATTTTTAAATGTCACTTAATACCTAAACTTCCCGATTATGTGCATGAAATTATTACAGATTTTCCACGTGGTCTTTGACTTTTGGACCCTGCTGTATATAAATATGTGGACTAGAGCTGCACACTGTGAACCACACTGGCTACATCATCTCTTCAAATAGTATGAAAAACATCACACCAACAAGCTGCAATATTCTCCAGATGCAGTAAAGGGAATAAACATGAGCTAAAAATACACCACAGGCCACAGTAAGGTCACAATAATTCCACTGTCGAGTACAAACGGGACTGTAACCAAGTGTTTTTCAGACTGCTGACCCAGAGGTGGGATCACAGCTTTCCTCGCTTCAGAGGCAGACTATCTCTATTACACTACACAGGCATTAACATATAATGCTATTTATAGACGTCTGCCTCTTCAGCTGCCAACAGACAGGATTACAGACTCAATCCCATTCACAGGAAATACAGGTAACGTTCTTCTGGTCGCCGCCTGCACTGCAGTGGAAGCCGTGATGTGTGAATTCATATCGCTCGGTGACAACTCAGACACATCGACAGCATTTCAGGGGTTTTTATTATGAAGAACTGCACATTATCACACACGCTGAGATCAGATAACGCTGGAACTTTATTGATCCCTGTGGGAATGCTCGGTGCATGCTGAAGTAGAAGGATTCAGCTTTTCGTTGTTGCACATTCTGCTTTGTGGGGAAAAGCTCTCATTACACTGGCCTGTGAAAGCGCCCTAATAGTGAACTGGAAAGGAAAATAGTGAGAAAGCAAATTAATTAGGTAGCTACATGTCACAGTACCTGCTCCATGATTATTAAAACACTTTGGTAGTCTATATGTAAATGTGCCTGTACTGCTAATGGAAAAATGTTAGGAGGCATGCATAGTAATCACACATTGTTGTGATTACATACGATTAGGTTCACTTAAGAAAGACTTTAATTTAGTGAAATGAAGTCACATAAATGCAGTTCTGTTATACAGTACATATGTTCAGGGACTGGACTGCATTTTTAGTACTTTATACTTCTGTATGTACAGTTGTAATTAAAAATTTAAATGCATTTGTAAGACAATATGTTTCATAGCAGTCTTGAGTTTGCAGTGACTCCTCCATCCATCCATCATCTATACACCGCTTAGTCCTCACGAGGGTCATGGGGGGCTGGAGTCTATCCCAGCCGACTTAGGATGAAGGCAGGGGACACCCTGGACAGGTCACCAGTCTATCCTAAGATCCTGGTGCCTCCACCGGGACGCGAACCGGCGACCTTCTTGCAGCGGTGCTAACCACTGATCCACCTTGCAGCCCCACAGTGACTCCTGTAACTCAGAATTTTCTGTGATGGGATCATTAAAACCAAAGTGTCTTTGTTGCAAAGATCAATCATGCATCTTGATTCTTTCCTAGATATGTTATAGGTATTTTGGAAATATGACAGTTGAACTAAAATTTGAAGCATAAAAGTAAAGCTTTTTACTGAATGTGTTTGTAATGATTTTAAGTGGAGTCTCTGGACTAACAATAGAGGATAATAATGATGACATGATGCTGACATTTAAGATAAAAGTTCGATATATCGGCAACTTTCAGGAATCCTTCAATTTGGCTTATAAAAATGTGACCAGTGGAAATTCTTTGCAGGACACTCTACTGTTGAAATATAAACCATTATGGCCACTTACTGGTGATAGAAATACAATAATGTAAGAGTTTGAGGATATTCTCCTTCATGCACTGCCTCCAGGAAGGTATTACATGGGTCCCAAATTCATTCTGTAGCAGGACAACAAGCCCAAACATTCAGCCAGTGTTATAAGCCAGTGAGTCAGCCTGAAGTTTCCAGGATGCTCAGGAAACCATCCTGCATGGTAGTTAGAGAGGTGTTATCTCCACTTTATGATGATTTAGGAGGATGCAGTTTGTGGTGCTGTTGAAATCATCATAGAAAGATGTTTCTGTTGCATAACCCACTCACTGATGTGAAGGGAGTGGGCAGAATAATGGAAACATCTGTCAGTATAATGCAATAAATGCATAACAGTAAACTAAATTGAGTACAGCTGACTACTGCGTAAGTTCAGAGTGCACTCAAACATATATTTATCTGTTGTTTTTGACCAGAGGTGCCTACAAAGGGGGTCATGGTCACCCCTAACATCTCATTCACATCACTTCTGAGAGAGTCATTCACTGAATCTCTATAATTTCCAAGTTTCAGTTGTCCATAAACTTCGTGCAGAGCGCTACAGCCACAGTTTGTGACTGTAGTCGACGCACACAGACCTCAAAACATCACCGGGTTTGTTGCTTCTAGCTGTTTGTAGAAGTCTTTCCTCTGAGGTCATTAAATACCTGCAGCATCAGACAGCAGCAGGATGAGCGTCTCCCGGGAGAGAGAGCAGCACACATAACACACAACACAGCACAGCGGTAACTTCATTAGTTACCTTTAAATGTAAATCATCCCTGACGTGCAGACAGAACGGATCAGGATCCAACTGTACTTTCCTTCACATCAGGCAGGTGAGCTGTGACACGCAGTCACAGTTTATCAGCTACGTTTGTTATTTATTCGTCAAACAGCTGGATCCTAAGCTCTGCTGCAGCTGAATATTGTTTTACTGTGAAAGTCTGATCCTAAAGTTCATATAATAATTTAATATCAGTTTGCTTTTACAAAGGAGATTGTTTCCCCCCATTGTGCAGCAGAATATTTACAACAGTGACATTATGGTACATATGAAGACACATGTTATAGTACCTTAAATTGCCATAGTTTGATAATTCTGTTCATGTATGACGATAATGAAAGTGAAATGCAAAGGGACTGTTCTCAAGGCTGTGCAATAACAAGACATTGCAGAGAGAACAATTCTTCAAAAAACTATAGACATTTTTTTTGAAAATGTCATAATGTCATAAATAATGAGACAGAGCTCATAATCCTGAAGTGCAGTGTACGTTGAGCATTGAGTACAGTCATGTGTGTGTTGTTGTTATGCATCAGAGCGTGGGTGCAGGTGTGTGCATACACCTATATGTCATTTACACATTAACACTGGTCTAGTGAAGCAGACGGATGAGGTGCTTAGATTTAGAGTCTGACCTGAGGCCAGAGTTCAAAGTCCCGACAGCATGAGGAAAGAAGCTCTTCCTGAGTCTCTGTGTTCGCTTTGAGGCCGGCCAGAGCGTAGCCACTTAAACCTCCATAATCTTGTTTGCCCTGACCACGCTCCTCCTCCTCCGTAGTAATTTCTCAGTGTGGGAATCATAAATAAACTATGGATTAACTTTATCCCCTCAAAGTCTTAGTTATGTGTCTTCTCCTGGACTGTTTTGAATGGTGGTCGCCCTCATAGTCAAAATCATGACTGTATTAGTAAATGCTCATTACCTTTACTGTAAAAGATTTTTAAAAAGGTATATCAGTATGTGATTTAAAAAACTCTTACTGATATAAACTTCCCTCCATGTGGTCGCCCTGCTCTGAGGAGATTCTTCTGCTTTAAATCCTTTTTATTATTCTTTTATTTTTTTTAAATAAAGGAACTTTATTTAACAATGAACGTACATGCAAAGAATTGTACAAATAATGTGAACAAACAATTTATCAGACATGTTTTCATAATGACAAATGTATTTTGACAATTTTAAATTCTGTTGATTCAAAAAATAAACAATATATTTTTTTAAAAAACAGAAGGGGGACAAGAGGAGGGGCATCGTTGTTCTTTCTGGAACAGTTCTTCAAATATTTTAACAGTTTAATTGCTTTTTGTTGTTTTGATATTATTTAATGTTTTAATATGTTCTTCAAAGTCAGTGGATAATTTACATTTGCCAGTTTAAATTTGTGAACTTGAAATTTACCAATTAGAATTAATAAATTAATTAGGAATTCTATTTCTTTATGTTTGTGATCAAATGAAGTTATGACACTTTTACAATCAATTTTAACATCAAATTTAGTTTTACACAATATATAATTCTTAATTTTAATCCAGAAAATAGTTGAATACAGACAATGGAAAAATAGATGACATAAGGATTCGTTGTCATTTTTAAAGAAGATATATTTATTTTCAATTTCTAAAAATTGGGATAATTATGAATTTGTTGCATATATATTGTGTACAACATTCATGTGTACTTGTTTATTATTAATACAGAATAAACATGGTACCAGCCATGCTCTTAGCAAATCAATGTCTGTTAAGATACCATTCCAGGAAGCTTTTAATCAGGGATTTATTCTTATTTTTTCGTACAAACAGTTCCTAATATGTTTATTATTACATCCATAATGTCTATACCAAATAATAAACAGAAGGGCTCTTCTGCTTTAAATCTCCTTTTACGCAAACAGCGTAGCTTACGTCCTTCCGCCATGATGGATCTGGCGCGCGTCCTACGTACGTTTTCTACGTAGCGGTGGAGCAGGACGGGAAAAGCACTCTGTCACAGAAACACTGTCAAGAAAAGAGGCTTTTTACGGCTTTGTTAGCCAGCTAGAGTCAAACAGCCCGAGCTCAGCCCTTGTTGGAGGGACAAACAGCGACAGTCCCGGCAGCTGCGTTATTTCCTCATAAGAGTAGCAGGTGAGTCGCATCGGCTCTTACTGGCTAATGTCCTCTGAAACAGCTCCAGGTTGTTTCGTTCCACGTTTTGGTCTTCAGCCGTAATAAACGAGCATGGTGTGTTAGCATTTGAATAAAAGAAGAAGCTGTAAACACACGCCTGCGGGCTTCGAGTCCGCTCCAGCGTTTCCTTCTGCTGTTGCGTCTTTGGAAATGTGCATTTGTCAGTGCGCATGCGCGGGCAACAAGGCTCTCATGATTCCTCCATTCTTATTTGTGTAGCAACACTTTGTCATTTCACTACTAATTTATTCAAACATTTCCAGAAAGTTCCTGTTCTGGTCTTTTAAATCTGCATTATGTGTGTTCTGATACTTACTGTGGATAATTTCATCAGATACAAATGTGTGAAAGTCATTGTCAGCTGGTAAATTTTCTCATTTTCCCCAGAATAAAGTCATTAAATCACATTAATTTGTTCAAACATTTCCAGAAAGTTCCTGTTCTGGTCTTTTAAATCTGCATTATGTGTGTTCTGATACTTACTGTAGATAATTTCATCAGGTACAAGTGTGTGACTTTCATTTTTAGCTGGTAAATTTTCTCATTTCCCCTCCAGAATAAAGTCATTAAATCACATTAATTTGTTCAAACAAGTCCAGAAAGTTCCTATTCTGTTTTTAGTTTGTATTATTTTTGTTCTGAGAGTTACTGTAGATAATTTCATCACATACAAGTGAGTACATTTCATTTCCAGCTGGTACATTTCCCTTTTCCCCCCAGAATAAAGTCATTAAATCCCACTAATTTGTTCAAACAAGTCCAGAAAGCTCCTATTCTGTTTTTAATTTACATTATTTGCATTTTCAGAGCTACTGTATATAATTCAAACCCTTACAAGTGTGTGAATTTCATTTTCAGCTGGTACATTTCCCTTTTTTCCCCCAGAATAAAGTTATTAAATCCCACTAATGTGTTCAAACAATTCCATGAAGGTCTTACTCTATTTTTAATTTACATTATTTGCATTTTCAGACTTGCTGTACAAATTTAAGCCCTTACAAGTGTGTGAATTTCATTTTCGGCTGGTAAATTTTCTCTTTTTTTATCCCCAGAAGAAAGTAATGTAATCACAGTAATTTTTTCAAACAAGTCCAGAAAGTTCCTATTCTATTTTTAATTTGTATTATTTGCATTGTGAGTCTTACTGTAGATAATTTCATCACATACAAGTGAGTAAATTTCATTGTCAGCTGGTAAATTTTCTCTTTTTTTTTTATCCCTAGAAGTAAGTAGCAATGCCTGAAAAACATGTCTCACAAAGAAGATAATGAAGGGAAAAGGAGGTAAGGAGCACAAACAAGCAGCGTGACACTTCCCATAGTGTTTATTAAGCCACTGGGGAAATCACTTCATGTAAATGAAATGCAGCAGCATCGGATTGAAAAGCCCTTTTGATTTTCTCCTTTCAGCCCTCACGTCACTGATTTGTACGCCAGCGTCCCTCAAACATGTCTGCCCATCGTGTACCACCCAGACTACAACATCACCTTCATGGGCCTTGAGAAGCTCCATCCATTTGATGCGGGAAAGTGGGGGAAAGTCATCCACTTCTTGAAAGGTAAGAACAGCAAACATATCCCTGAGCTGATGTATACGGAGTGACTCAAATCAGATCATACAGGCAACGAGAGGCAGAGAACAAAGAGCGGAGAGCGGAGGGGTGAGGCGTAGTTGCTGGAGAGGGGAAAGGCAGAGCAATAGAGCACAGATAATTAGAGATAACTCCCCCGTGGGAGCCTGTGCAGGTACAGTAGATGAGGCCCAGCGTGGGTTTCAAGGCCAAGGGAAAACAGTCACCGGCTAACTGGCACGACTTCACACCAAGCTGTTGTCAGCTTTGCACCGTGAATCGTCTTTGGTGTAGGAAGTGTCGCGCGCAGCTTAATGAATTCACAGAACTTTCAGAAGTTAAGAGTGCAAATAAAGAACTGAGCCTGTGCTGACAGAGGGAAACCTTGGATTTCCTAAAATTACCCTCGCAGTAATTGGAGAAAAAGTGGATGATGGTGCAGATTTAGTCGGCATATTTAGAGAATCATACAAAGGAACTAGTTGTGTAATAGGTTTTAATGAGCCCTCAGTGTTGAACTGAAAAGTTAGCAGCTGACTTTGGGCCACTGTGTTTGAGTGGTCTGTGGAAACGACCGTCCTGCAGCGAAACAACTGACCAAAAAATTCTGATATTGCAAAAATGAACCATTACGTGACACAAACATTCAGAACCTGTGCCATGTTACTGCCCTACAGCAGCAGTCTGATTTTACCAACTTGTCATGTAAACATCACAAACCCTGGTTAATGACTTCAGTTGTCCCAGTAAATTTAATAAATTCCATCCATCCATTATCTATACACCACTTAATCCTCACTAGGGTCGCAGGGAGCTGGAGCCTATCCCAGCTGACTCAGGGTGAAGGCAGGAGACACCCTGGACAGGTCACCAGTCTATCACAGGGCTACACTTAGAGACAGACAACCAAGCACACTCACATTCACACCTACGGACAATTTAGAATCACCAATTAACCTCAACATGTTTTTGGACCGTGTGGGAGGAAGCCGGAGAACCCGGAGAGAACCCACGCTGCACGGAGAGAACATGCAAACTCCACGCAGAAAGATCCCGGTGCCCCCACCGGGACGCGAACCGGCGACCTTCTTGCTGCGAGGCAACAGTGCTACCAACTGCGCCACCTTGCAGCCCATTTAATAAATGACATTATTTAATTTGTTTATCCCTTTCTCGAAAATAAGAGACCTTAATTATACAGTTTTCTGAAGAAAGAATTTGCATTTGCTTTATGTGGACGATTTAAAATCTAAATGTTAAAACTATTAAAATTGTGCGTTTCTGGTTTTCACACTTCTTGTCTATACGTGTACTAAAGGCTGTAATGATGCACTTGCTGCATTAGTGCTTTTAAACACCTAATTTCACATATTTGCAGCGTATTAGTGATTTTGATATTCATCGGATAGTTTTGGTCGACGTCAGCGTCCTCACACCAGGGGGCTCTGCAGGAAGCAGTAAAGCATCGTGTTTACACGGAGCATGTGCTGTAGATGTTTAGTAGCCAGAAGTGCACTGTAAAAAGTCCTTTTGATTAACATAATAGCATCCTTTCATTACTTTGTGTTTCTAACTGTGCTGCAGGTCAGTGCATAAAGCAATCAGCTCTACTGTTGGGGTGTCACATGGTCAGAATCAATGTCATGATTTGTGACAGCATTGACTTGTGCTTAAAATAGAATGATGTCCACGGTATTGATTCTTGTGATTTTATTTATCTACCAAATTTTCCCACATTATGTAATGACACGATTATGACATTATTCAACTAGATCATTGTGTGAGACAAAGAATTTTAACCACAGTATCTCAATGAGAGAATTCAGTCACTCCACAAATGTATAAGTGGAGGATTTGTATTGATCCGTCAGCCAGCCTTAATTATGGGTTGAACGGACGGTCAGTGTTGGGTTGCTGGCATGCAAAGGGATGATGATGTGATAATATATTGACGGTTCAGAAAAAATGTGCTTGATATGTTGGCAGCATTCACGTTTTTAATAAGTTCCTAGAATTAAAAATATGACTGCATGATCTTCTTTGCAGGACGCTTCACCATTAATAATTAACTGTTTCTTATTAGTCGTATATTAAACATGCAATACTGACAGTATCCATCATGCATCACTTATAGGAAGGCATCACATGGGTCAGAAATTCATTCAGTAGCAGGACAACAAGCACAAACATACAGCCAGTGTTACAGGCCAGTGAGTCAGCCGGAAGTTTCCAGGATGCTCCGCACAACTTTCCGGCAAAGTACTTTGACAAACGGTACACGAGTGTAGCCGTCTGCACCGCATTGCATAGAGTTTTCAATTAGAGAGGTGTTAATTCAACTTTATGCTGATTTTGGACGATGTAGTTTGTTGTGCTGCTGAAATGTAATTCATCACTGAGAGGGTTTGTTTTTTATTTTATTTTATAATCTACTGTCATTGATATGAATGGGTTGGGCAGAATAATGGAAACATCTGTCAGTTTAATGCAATAAGCACTAATGACTGTAGCCTCCAAAACGACCGTACAGTTGAGTGTAATTAAGGTTTGAGTGGAAACTGTACATTACAGCCTTCATGAACTAAAGAGGATTTATTGCATTGGTTTTGGGATGAACGATTTTGTAAACATCTAGTTGTGATTTTCAGATATTTTTATTTGATTTGCAGCATACTTTTTAAAGTCAATGGAAAAGATTTAGAGACACCATGAAAAGTATGACTGTCACACAAGAGGGGTGGCACATGAGTGTACAGCCTTTGACACAGCAGTTAAAATCTTAGGTTATACATACTATATAACATATATTCTACATGTCTTTTTATTTTTATTTTTTATTTTTATTTTATTTAATTCTACATGAATTCCTTCCTGCCAACAGCCATCACCTTAACAAACAATTTGACTGACTGAATGATAGTTGTTGTTGTATAGAAATATATGTTATATTGATTAAAAAAAAATAAAAAAGTGAGCTTTTACAAGATTGAATTTCCCTTCTGGGATAAATAAAGTATTTTTCATTCATTCATTTCATTTCATGTCAGCCTTTGCAATTTGCTGATTGTATTGCTTCAAATGGCAGTTTGAAATCGAATATTTGTTTAGCTCCTCATTGGACCTTCTCCTATTGGCTCCTATCAGCCGTGGTGTTGTCATGAAACACCCACTTAATACAAAACCGTGGACATGCAGTTGTGTAAAGCCATGAGTTAGAAAAGCTAAACGTGTTGCATGACTGGACAGATTCGTGCTTTTCCTTCTTTGGAGTTGGAAAATGTGGAGTTTCCTACTTCTAACTCATCCTACAACTGCAGCTCTAGTATGAAGGTTCACTTGTGTCATTTTTCAAGTTTTTTTTTAAGCCTGTCTGACCTGTTTGACTGTGTCTCAGAGGAGCAGTTTATCACTGATGGGAACATCGTGGAAGCCCGTGAAGCTACCGAGGAGGATCTGCTGGTGGTTCACACCAAACGTTACATCAACAGATTAAAGGTAGCTTTGTTTTCCCTCAGCACGTCCTACCTTTAGTGCACCTTATTATGACAGCATGGCATCTTCACTACAAGTCTTCATCTCTTCACATCTTTTTTCCTCTGTCTCTCTTCTGTGTGCCACATGCCGCACTGAAAAGGACCGAGGACCTGAGGCGTTTAAACTGATTTAACTCTTATTAAAGTAGAAAGTTGCTGTATTCAACAGTAGTATGAATGAGAGCCAAACTAAACAGTTTGTTACCTCGGATTTTCTCCTGTTAACGCTCCATTTTTCTTATCATATCATAATGCAGGAAGTGGAATACGAGAGCAGAGAGGTCCCCTAACAGTGCGGGTGATTATCCCATAAAGGAATTACTCCTCAGTCAAATCAATCATTTCAAGCATAATCAAAAGATAGTACCGCTCTGAATCGTTTGAGTCAAAAGGAGTTTTGTGCTTTTAATTCATCAGCCCGAGGCGTTTATTAGGACCCACGTTTGCTTTCACTGAATTGGATTTACAAAACTGCGGTTATTTGTGGAGCTCAGGAATGCTGTGTTCTAAAGCCGGCATAAAGGAGCACCTGCTACAGGGAGGCAACGCCGCTAACAGCAGCTCTGTCATTTTCAAAGACTTTGTAGTTATTCACTCTTTAGCCTACTGCTTGCTTAACCAAATCATGGAGGGCTCAAGAGAGGCCCCTCAGTGCTCTGCTGTGAATCTCCATTATCCTGTACTGTCCCGTTCTCATGGGAGAGTCGAGGTTTAAGCCTGAGCCCGCTGGTAGCATCATTATGTCCTTATTTAGTACGATTTTCTGCGAGATTATATCCAAACTCTGGTGGGCTCGTGTTGAGAAAAAAAATGCGGTTTATTTACCTCCTGTTAGGCTTTCCATGCTTTTCCCTCAGCTGAGGTCTTCTTGTGGTTTTTGTTTGCTTTGTGATAATCTTGGCACAGAAACAGCCTCACTGCACTACATCGAGTTGTGTTCTGTTTCGTCGTAGTGGTCTCTCGTGGTGGCAACAATCACAGAAATCCCGCCCCTCCTGTTTCTACCTAATTTCCTGGTGCAGCGGAAGGTGCTGAGGCCTTTGCGGACGCAGACAGGTGGAACAATAATGGTAAGTGTCTGACGGCCGCTTTTCCTCTTCACGTGTTCGTAGCTGATAATATTCACTCATTCTGCACATTTTCTTACTATCTATCGTTATTTGTCAGAGGAATCGATAGGGACAGTGTCCTGTGGTTTATCACTGTCAAATGCTTGATTCATTTCTGTCTCTGTTACCTTTATCAGACAGTAAAAGCACTGCAAGGTGCATAAGATCACACCTGCAGCACGCAGTGTCCAGCCAACATTACAGGTGGGATCATTCAGGATCAAATGCAGATTTTGAGGGTCATTCCACAAAGATAGCTTTTAATTTATTAAATTTTGACTTCTTTAAATGAAAACAAAGTTCTGTACGTTGATAGACACTGAACACGTTGCTCTTGATGCCAGGTGTAGTATTAAATAAACTAAAACTAATGATCTAATATCAGCGCTGTGGCTCTGTGCGTGCAGAGCAGGCCAGGAAGGCAACACCACCCCAAACACTAACGTCCAGCACATGGATTATAGAGCGGGTAGTGATGGGTTGAGCTCCACAGAATTCGTATTTGCTGGGCTGTTGCCCACCAGCCAGTCCTTTATCTTTTATGAAGACCTTTGCTTCGGGAGGCGCCATTTATTATGTTGTCAGGATTTTGAGATGATATTTAATTCTAAATATGGCACAAGAGACATACACATTGTTTAGCTAACCTTTAAAAACTCTGCATTACGTTCAGGCTCAAGCTCTGTGTTTGACAATGAGGGATTAACAAGAAGGTCGGGCAACGGTTTGGTACATTCGACGGTAATTTGATGCACATGTGGCATTGAATTGGAAGAATGACACACCAAACATTTTGATCCAGTTTTCATCAGTAACGTTTGAGGCTCACTTTTGAGTTTTTCATTTATTACTTAGGATGCTGAGGATTTCTGAGGCCACAGCTGTTGCCATCTTTGTGTACAGTTGCCATGGTTACAGGTGATATTATTGGAAAAGGCTCAGTGTCCATGTCCTTCTGCTTTGCAGTGATACAACAGAAGACTCTCCTCAGTAAATCCACTTAATATTATCGTTTCCATTATCTGGCTGGAATGTTCGCTTTCTGCTAACCTAGCGTTATCATAACTGTAGCTACGTGTTCTCTTAATTTAAAAAAGCAATTCATTCAGGAGATGATCCACTTTGGTTCACTGAAGTACTGCTCACTGGTCCTGTTGGCTTGAGCAGAGAAGCTAAACAGTTTGAGAGCGTTCATACAATTATAGGACAGCAGACGAACCTCCAGATGGAGATGACGTAGAATCTGTCCTACTGACAGTAACATTAACGTTACATGTACATTATCTGATAATGTTGCGTTGACTTAATTCCTTTATAAACATGTTGCTTGCATGTGCAGAGTGCTGTGCTGCTGTTGCGTCTCAATAGACTGTAGATCAGGGGTGGGCAATCCTGGTCCTCGAGGGCCACAGTCCTGCATGTTTTAGATGTTTCTCTCTTCCAACACACCTGATTCAAATGATCAGGATCATTATCAGGTTTCTGCAGAGCTTGATGATGAGCTGATCATTTGAATCAGGTGTGTTGGAAGAGGGAAACATCTAAAACATGCAGGATTGTGGCCCTCAAGGACCAGGATTGCCCACCCCTGCTGTAGATGGACCCAATAATACATCTGTTTCAACGTCAGATAATGTTACTGAATGTACAGTAACTGCAGCCCAACAGGTCAGCGTCTTCTGAATGAAAGATGTTTTGGGCGAGGAAGCAAACATTTGGTAATCAGCAGCTGCAGTGTGTGTTTCCACAGATGCTTCAGGCAACTGAATAGGTCTTTACATTTAAACAGTAATTAGTTAATTTGTCCAGTTTTGTAACATTTGTGCAAAAGCAGTTGGTGTGTACGCTCTAGACTAGTAACTACTACAGTTTCCCCACAGTGCATGTTCTGGCATGCGTGTCCCTTGTCTTCAGCCTTATCGGGTAATTTTGTTTTTAATTGTTTACATTATTAAAAGCAATTGATCAAATAATCACCAACATCGCTATTACAGAGTCAAAAATTCTTCCTGTAGCATGGTAAAGAGACCTGAGAGACTACTCGTTGGTCACCAAGTAACAGGGATCAACGGGAAACATGAGTGCAAATTACGGCAGCAGAAGAAACGGTTTTGGTTGTCCATCCTAAAGGAGGGCCATGTTGAGGGACGTGTGCTCCTATTGGTCATGTTTTGGATGTTGTTGTGCAGGTGTTTCTCTCAAGACGTCATGAGGCGTCCAAGATGCAGCATTGGTTGTTGTTAGTAATAAATAATAATTGATTAGATTTATGTAGCGCTTTTCTAACTCAAGGAGTGACTCAAAGCACAGACACTGTCCGTCAGTCATTCACATACATTCATCCCAGTGGTGGTAGCTATGATTATAGCCACAGCTGTCTTGGGGCAGACTGACAGAGGCGTGGCTGCCATTCTGCACCTTCGCCCACCACCTCAAACAATCCATTCATACGCATTCACATCAGGCAAGGTGGGTGAAGCGTCTTGCCCAAGAACACAATGACCATGACACAGGTTACGGAATCGAACCGCCGACCTTCCGATCATTGACTGACCTGCTCTACCACCTGAGCCACAGCTGCCCTTGTTCACTATCACACATTACATCAGATACAATGATTAGCTGTTGTTTAAACCACAAAGTAAAAGTGTTGAATTTGTATTTTTTCTTTTAAAAAGATCTCAAAAGAAGTATTAAATTCATAGTTAGATATTTTCTCTTGCCTTCTTCTGGCAGGAATGTTGGTCTGACTAAAGAGAGTGGGATTGTTGTACTGGTGGGATGTACTGCAGAAGGCTGTTTTTGCCGAGCATTAGTCAGCACAATCAGACCAGTGTCAAATTATTGATTTACCGTAGGTTGGAATATCATCCATTGATAATGAACTAATCATTTTTTCAGTGATCAGCCTCTTCATCTATTGTATGCTACATATCAGGGTCTAGATCACATCAATTCCATTCTTAATACTATTAGATGTTACTAGTAGTATAAAGCCATCTTGTTTCCATACATTTTGGCTGATTGGGAAGGTTTTAAATTGCATTCTTTGCAATAATAAAAAAAAATCTTCAAATTTAACTTTGTGAACTCTGCAGAAATCCTTGGCTTAGTTTCCTCCTTCTAAAACCCTCGACTGATGTTGTCCTCTTTGTTTTCAGTGGAGCAAACTGGGATCCGTCTCTCATAGTGTTGTTAATGAAAAAGAGAAACACAGAATAATAAATAAAAAGGCTGCAAGTGTGTCTGCAGACTTGAATGTGCACAAGCTGATCAGTATTATACAAACAAGGCATTTTCTATGGTTTTTAGTGCGTATACTTGGTGTAATTACAAATTATATCAAACCTGTCATCACGCCAAATGTCTTTTCACTCAAAGAGACTTCTTCTGGCGGTTGATGGAGTTGTTCAGATGATATTATGCGCCGGTAGTAAAACATCTCGTACTCTGTTACAGAGAGTCCTTGTTTTCCCCAGAGTGCTGTGTTCGAGCCGTGGCCAGAGCCTGTGCATACATGCTAATGTGTGTTATTACTCATCTATCAGAGAGCCATTTTGGCATTTACACCAATTCCCTCCAGCTCATATCTCCTTGCCTTCGCTCCCCTACAGGCAGGACTCCAGAAATACGTGGCTCTGGAGCCCCCTTCTCTTGAGCTGCATTTTAAAGAAGCAGCTGCTGTGTGTGTGTAGCAGCATTCTTCTTGGTTAAAAGGGGGAAAAAAAAGCATTCATTATTTATTTGATTACATTTTGTCCATCAGTCCTTGAGAACAAAGTGGTTAGGAGGTTATGAGACTCCAGTCCCATGAATACCCTTTAGCTGTGGAGTGCATTAGATAAGCCTCCAGTGGTTTCTTAAGAGGATGAACCGGTGGAGCGACCAGCCCTAAATACTGCCTTCCTCATGCGTAGCCATGCACATCAGGATTAAATTGATGAACATGTGAGACAAACACCGCCGGTCTCTCTTTGTCTCAGGAGTAGATTTAACATACAATACGGCTGTATGTGTTCTCCCCACAGGAGAACGGAAGTATGCCATTACACTGGTAATCAATGTGTAAATGTGTGCTTCAGCGTTTAACTACGTTTACATCTAAACTTCCTCCCCTGGCATTCATTAAACGGCTAAAAGCACATCTCTGTTTATCATAATGGTATATTTAGAGGTTCTCTTATGTTGTCGTCATGCCTGAAAACGGCTTCGATGTAGAATGGCTCGTTGGTTGTAGATCACAGGTAGAAGCCTGCCATTGGCCGTGCATCTTAGTGGCGTTCTGTCTCCCTTCTGCTGCTCTGTTACCATTTTCGTTCGTTTGGGTTACAGTTCCCCTCGCCACTATCTTGAGTAAACATGGTTGCTGCATCCTTTGTTTAGCTTTTCCAAGATGACTGCTATTGGTTTATAAATATACAAACAAACCAGAGCTCCCTTTTCCCCTACAGCAGAATGGTAATGAAACGCTGCCAGAACGTCCTGTACTGCAGAATGGGCTGGTTATTTGGATGTAACTCTGCACCTTTGTTTCCTTTAACATGCAAAGTTCTACCAATGTGCCAGTTGGTTCACCCGTTTGGCATGTTTAGAGAAGCCACACTCATCACTCCATCATTTTTAAATAGTCATATTATTGTGCTGTTAATTAACTTAAGATTTTGAGCTACATATTTGTAAAGTAAATGAGTTCTTGAAATGTCTGTATAGCATGTAAAAAGATGTGTTTACGGTAATGCAGCAGTAGAATGCAGTTAGGTGGAAGTGTTAATCAATGGATGGGCTACGCTAGGCTAACCACATCTTCAGTACCTAACGTGTGGACGTAAGTGTGACATTGATCTTCCTGTCTTGAAAGAAAGCAAATAAGTGTGTTTCTCTCTGTGAAAGTTTAAGCTAGTTTTTGGTACATTTTTAAGGCTCTTGTTTAAAAACCTGCCTCTTTTTAAACATACACTCACCAGTGAGATGTCAGCAGACTGGAGGGATGCTCAATGGGAAAGATCAAACCATTAAGCAAGGAAACAGAAAGGAAATGAAAAACATTAAAAAAAAAAAAAAAAGAAGCATTAAAATACTGTATGTGATTGCATTTCCTTATGCCCCAATAGCAAAAATGCTCAAATACCTCCAGCTGTTTGTGTACCGTCTATTGTGTTGCGTATGTAAATTTAAACATGTATGTTCCCTACGTGACTGGAGGTCGGATGTGCAAATAGGACGAAGTAACAGTTGTTTATTTAAAGTCTGTGACCTGCACAAAAATGCAGCGTTTAAATGCATAGCCTTGAGTCAAATTTCTAATTTTCTTTAAGAAATGTTTTTTTTTTTTTCCCTCCTCGGTTCCTCAATAAACATGAATCATTTCCTGGTGACTGCAAAAGCTTCTCGATGATTGTTGTTGCATTTTGTGGTTTATTTGTAAAAGGTCATTTTTATTTCATAAATTGAAGTGCTGTTTAATTCACAAAGGGTCACATTCATACATTTTTCTGTTGATGTTAAAAGCTGAACTAAAATATTGTTCCTTCCACAGGCAGGAAAACTGGCTGTTGACCGAGGATGGGCCATAAACGTAGGTAAGTGAGTTTCCGGTTTCTTTGCCTCCTCAGCATACTGAACAGCAATCCCAAAAAGTATCACATTTTTTCCAAACAGTGGACTTTTTCAATTTTTGCAGAAGTCACTTCTTCTTCTTAAGTTCTTGTTGATGAGCTGCAGTCAAATTAAAGCTCCCCGACCAGACCGGCGTCTTTGTGTCTCCTTCTTACAAACAAATATTGACGGACACACTGTTTGCTTTAAAATAATCATATATACCAGCTTACGGGAGCTTCAGAAGAAGCTCCACAGTAGGATTTCAATTTCTGTCTAACAGTGGCTAAAGAGATACTGATTCCTGAGATGAGGGACAAAACATGTTCTACATTGTCTTAAATGTCATAAAAAATAAACAGATGAATGGTAAAAAAACTAATTAAAAAGTGACACGCAATATCCACATGACACATGAAAAATATAGCATCAACATGACAATGATTTCATGTTTTAGAAAACTAATTCAGCTTCATTGTTTCAAATTTAGGCTCTGTACCTGGAAAATACCAAAACCAAATATCAACATTAGATACTTGAGAACTTTAAATTCTTGTTTGATTTATAAAATTAAAAGGAAAAAAAATGCTTTATTGTGTGTCTGGTGGCCATACATGAAACTATGAGCTGCATAAATGTCAGATTTTCAGAAAAGATGTTAAACCAAAAACCTGTTCCTTCACAGGATTGCTATTGGAGACCTTTGTCAACCAATGCATTAACTTTAAAATAACGTAATAGTAAGAAGTAATAAGAAATTTAAAAACCATCCAATTTAAAACCTGTTTTGTCTTTTATCTTAAGAGTAAATGATGTGAACTGTGGGCTTCAAGGTGACGTGGTGGTTAGCACCGTCAGCTAGAAGGGTGCCGGTTCACGTCCTGGTGAGGACACCCGGGATCTGTCCTGCGTGGAGTTTACATGTTCTCCCCGTGCAGCGTGGGTTCTCTCTGGGTTCTCCGGCTTCCTCTCACACAGTCCAAAAACATCTTGAGGTTAATTAATGTCCGTAGGTGTGAACGAGAGTGTGCTTGGTTGTCTGTCTCTAAGTGTAGCCCTGTGATAGACTGGTGACCTGTCCAGGGTGTCCCCTGCATTCGCCCTAAGTCAGCTGGGATAGACTCCACCCCCGTGACCCTAGTGGTGATTAAGCGGCATATAGATGATGGATGGATGGATGGATGGATATGAACCGTGTAGTCCACTCTTAAGTCTTTTGGGGTGCAGCAATGCATTTACTCCTTATTGTTCAGTCTGAGTGATATTCAAAAGTAATATCTCAATTCTCAAAACAGCATCACTCATGCTTAAGGGTAACGTTTCTTACCAATGAATACAGTCTTTCTTTAACCTATTTGTGTTTCTTTTAAAGATGCCTCAACTAGAACTGATTCTTAAGAAAAATCAGCTGAAACACATTTTTTACCTTTCAGATGTTCTTGCACATGCAAGGTACAGTTGGCTGTATGTTCACCTTGAATGTTTTCTTGTAATGTAAATAAAAAGCAGCGTTACATTTCCTGGAAAAAGATATTTGTATTTGCAGGTGATTTGAACGTCGTGCCCATCCTGACCTGTTACCATTACATGCCACCAAGACAGATCCATCCGACATAAGCATGAACTCCACACAACCTCTGGAACTGCTCTGTGATATCTGGCACCAAGACAATAGCAGCAGATCCTTTAAGCCTCACAAGTTTTAGTTGCCATGGATCAGACTTGTCCCAGGACATCCTCAAACAGCCAGTTTCTGATTCACAGTCTGTGAACCCAACAAACAAGCGTTTTGGAGATGCTCTGACCCAATCATCTGGCTCTAATAACTTGTCAGAGTTGCTCAGGTCTTTACAGCTCTCCGTTTTGCTGCCATACTTACCATCCACTTCTGTGGGATTTTTATGACACCATCAGTGTAATTTGCTTCACCTGTGAGTGACGATAATGTTGTGGTTCACCTGAGTGTATGAATGCAGGTTGAAGCCACCATGGTTGTGTTACATGATGTGCCATTCCATCAATGCTAAAAAAAACAAAACCCTTTAGCTTGGATTGTGAAGTCTGCTGCAAGGCTGGCTTTTCATTCAGATCCCAGTGTGACACACAGCTTCACACTTCAGTCTCTGAACAGTTTTGACAGTTGTCAGGTATCAGCATGAACACCTCAATCTCAAAGCAACAAGGCAAAGATCTAGGACTCTAATGTATGCTGTCATGCTGCTACACCTACATCGCCTCCTCAACACCGAGCTGCTGTCTTTATGTTATTTCTCACGTATCCTTATCTTGAGAAAATCACCCTATGCTGATGTTGTATTCCTAAGTCTCTCTCTGTGCATTTGCAGCTCAGGAGCTGATTATCATTGTGATTCACCAGGTTCAATACACAGCAGATAAAAGTGTCAGTTTCCACCAGAACACAAGTGTCCTTGGACTTATGGATTCTTAGTGCCTTAACTTTTCCCTGGAAGCCTTGGCGGAGCATACTAATATGCAAATGTTGATACCATCTTTGCTTGGAGACAGGGAGGGGGTAGCTGTAGCATTTCCTTTGTGAGTCGCTGCCATCGGTGACCGGGCTGATTGAGTAGGAGGTCTTTGGCTGAAAGGCCGGGGTCATCGTTTATTTTTGTGCCAAGCGACAAAACGGCCGCATCAGACTTTTACTTTGTACCTCCTGCTTGCTCAGCGACTTCGCACCTTGTGTTGATGAATCAGGGGGAAAGATTGTTCTGCATCAATAAACATGATTTTAATAAAGATATAAAAGGCTATTCAAATGTGTCTGACATCAGCACATTGAGGATGTCAACACAGTGAGGATGTAGAAGTTTTATAAAAGGCTGTTTTTGGAAACCAGACAATAAATGATAATCATACTTCACCCGTTACCTTCCTGGCCTTTATTAATATTCTCCTCTGCGCTGTAGTTTAAAGAGCTGGAGAAGGGCAGAGGAGAGTTTAACTCTTAACCTCAATGAATGGTTATTATCCCAATTATAAAAAAAAAAATCTCCTTTCCTGTGAACCGCTGCTTTTCAAGCATTTTAGTACCAATTGAATAGCCCCATTCTGGCATCAATGTAACCATTGTTCTACCACAAGGGAAAAGCACCCATTTTTATAAGCTACAATAAATTCAATAACACCTTATTTTAAATTGCCAATTACGACCGTTTTGAATAATAGACTTCTCAGAAGTGCAATGACCTGCCCGCCTTGTCTAATGGTCCCGGCACTGATCCAGTGAGTTTTCTGTTTCCCAGGAGGAGGTTTCCACCACTGCTCCGGCGACAGGGGAGGCGGCTTTTGTGCTTACGCTGACATCACTCTGACCATCAAGGTAAGACGGACTGGAACTCTGGTTGTTTTTACGTGCACGATTGGTCATTTACAGTTGTAGGTCATTATTTGATTCAAGTGATAATGCGTCACTGGTGCAGAAGTAAAGATGCAGTCCTCTAAGTACTTGTGGCAACTGCCCACTTCACTTTAAAGCACCATTTCGAGTGTCAGTAATCCGGTCACAAGCTCCGTTAGGTACGGACATTACCGATTCCATACAGACTACCAGCTTCCTTCCTTGGAGCACTTCCTGTTCCATACATATGAATGGCACATACATAATTTATAATATGGCTCTTAGAGATTTTTTAACCTAATTGCTCAAATATTTATGATACAAAGCATGTTTAATAGGAGATAGTAAATAGTTAAGAATCAGTATTTAATTTATCCTTTAAATTGTTTAAACCACAGACTCTTAAATTCACCACAACATCAGAGCACAGAGAAGAAACGTTAAACAACAGGTTACACAAAATAAAAACTTCAGCTCACATCTGTTGGGAGTTTGCAGTTGGTTCAGCTTTTACGAACAGAAAGCAAATACACCTGTAACTTCATCTCATTAGACAGTCAGAGGTTCCACCTCATGGTGCAAACGAGTACTACAGAAAACATTTCCTCACAGTTACACAGCCTCCGTTTAGATATCGGTGTTTACATCAGTTAAGTAGCAGTTATTATCCAATTACTGATGAATCAATTAAGAGGCAGTGTAAATTGCAAGGCAAATACCTAAAATGTTTACATGCTGCCTGCTTTATTATCATATCTTAAAGGTATCCAACCAGTTTTCTCCACACGAGCTACAGACTTAACGAGGTTATTGAACATTTCTGTGTTTCAATTTAAATGTTATTCCATCTCTGAAGTAAAAGCTTTTCTTCGGAGTCCCTCAGTGGGAATCTAAACAGTGAACGTCTCTTCAGAAACCCAATGTTTTCTTTTTCACCTCTCAGTTTCTGTTTGAGAGAGTGGAAGGCATCTCCAGGGCTACCATCATCGATCTGGATGCTCATCAGGTGAGCCGATACTGTTGCTTCTTTTCATGTCAATGTGCAACACCGCTTAGGAGCTGACATTGATGACAAGATAACACCCTTTTTACCAGCACACCAATCAATGCGGCTCCCCGTGGGCAAAATTGGCCCTTACTGTCATATTCAGTGGAATGTATCTAAAAACATCTTGACTGGCAAACAGCCAGATGCAAACAGGCTTTGGATAATATTAGACTATCTGCAGGATAGCTGTCTATTTGTGTGTTTGAGCGTGTTGACTCTAATAGGTGTGCTTGAATTTTTACAGCTTTTTATTATTTTTAAGCACTTTATATTTCTGCCTAGAGAGCGCTGGTGGTGGCAGGCATGGGCCACTTGGCCACTGCCTCCACCTCAGTGGGGTCTGCCTTAGCCAGACCTTTCTCGATCACAAGCCCCAGTGAGCTGACTGAGACAACATGGAATTCACAGTTCTCTGCTTTTACATACAGTGTGTTTTCCATTAGTCTCTGTCATACTAGCTGAACATGTTACTGATTGTCCTTGGAGAAGATCAAGATATCATCCAAGTAGACAAACACAAATATTGATGAGGGTTTAGAAGGCTGTGAGGGCGTTTGTGAGACCAAATGGCATAACCTAGTAATAGAAGTGACTCAGAGGTGTGTTGAATGCAAGTCTGCTTGATCTCCTCCCTGATCCGATTGAGGCATTTCTGAGGTCCGACTTGGTGAAGATGCAGCCCTGGTGAAGCAAACTGAGGGCTGACTTGCTGCCAGTTAAGGATCTTAAATTTTAATTTCTGTCCTTTGCGCTGACTTGTATAAAGTCATTTGTGCTGTTTCTTTCTCCCTGTATATACTAGAAAAAAATGCACTCTTGCCTCTTAACTGCAAGCATCCTAGAAGACACTGTTACTCAGAGGTGAGGTTGGTAACTTGATTGATGAGATCAGTGAATAGAGGGCAACCAGTTAGGATCCACAACATAAGCATTACCTTGCATGTTTACATTGCACAGTATGTGCTTTCTCTGCACTACATGTCTTGTTTAGTAGGTCAGCATTAGTGGACTGAGCTCACCCCAGCTGTAGAAAACAACGACTCAACCATTTTTAGGTCCTGATTATCATATTTTAATCTTACGTTGTGTTTTCAGCATAATGATTTGTATGCACCACCAATTAGCCTTGAGAACTGTGTTAACATTGATGATGTCTCAGGATTGCCGAGGACCATGGCTGTATTCCAGGAATAGAGCTTTATTCATTTTGAGCTATGGTTTATTGGTAATGATGCTCCTTTACCTATTGACACAAGCCGGGGATCAATACAGATGCTCGGTGAATAATTCATGAAGAAGAACAAAGGAGCAAATCTGCATGAAGGCCCTCTCAGCAGATAATTGAGCAGGGGAAAAAAATATTGGGAATAGGCAGTAAAATCCTAATTACAACCCTGAAACATGACATAAAGTTCTCTTGTCCTCACAGTAAATGAGACTGTGGCCCAGACAGCTGTGTTGCTTATTCACCCAGTCAACAACAAAACAGTATCTGTCTGTGAAGAGCTAGTGCAGTGTGAGCTGTGTTTGTGTGATAAGGAGCCCTGATGGTGACTTTATGAGTCTGGATATATTTTATAAACCATTCATTTTTATATGTCATTTAATAAACGTGATCCGTGATTGTTAACTTTTTTACTGACACCAATTGAGCAATAGAAATACTGCTTCTCCTTTAACTGATCTGGTAAAGACTGCAAAGTTTATCCAGTGTTGTTATTTAAGACTTGAACAAACCCGTTTATTGAGTGATTCAGTTTTACTTACCTTTCACTATTTTCTGATATTTCTGAAATGGACTTGCTTGAGTCTCTTGAGGTGCCACGTCCCATCTGAATGGCTTCTTCAGTTCACAAATGAAGACAAACATTATTAACCACCTCTTGCTTTGATGGCAGTTGGGGCTTTTCCACCAGTTGTTGGCTGCTTGTTCTTCCCTCTGCAGTCCAATTTATCCCAAAGCTCCTTAGCTGGGGTTAGATGGGTGATTGTGGTGGATGGGTCATGTGATGCAACATCTGTAACAGCCAGCAAAGAGCGTGCAGGTGTGTTCTGGCTCATTGTGATGCTAAAAAGCTAATGATGAACCCAATGAGCTCAAACCAGAGAGGATGTAGCTGCCAGATGCTGTGGTAGCCATGCTGGTTACCTTGATTTCTGAATAAATGTCCAACATTTTCACCAGATTTCCACTGGTCTTATGTCCTTTCTCTGTGTTTCTGGGTTGTAGCAGTTCTTCTCTCAATTACAGCCATTTAGATTTTGAGGCAAGACTCATTTTCCTAAAAGTTCATAGCAAGTCAGAAAATGCTGTGACAAAGAAATGCAACTCATAAAATTATATTTGCCTTGGGGACTTCTCAGCTGATAACTAGCACCATGTTGTTTAGTGTGCAGCCTTCATTGATCCATCTATACTTTCAAATTCATCAGTGAAACCTACCCCTTACCAATCTCGTTTTTCATTTTACCCACTATTCCTATGTTGCCACAGAGTTCAATCAGACACTGATAATAAATAACCATAAACACTGTATGTATTAGAAAAAAAACTAGCTGCTGATCATCACTCGCTCTTTGCCAGTAACATCCTGTCATCTTGTAAAATCCCACAAAAAGCATCTCCTGTTCCTCTCAGATGAGAAAAGAAAGAAAATGTTTTATATCTGCCTCTTTGATTATGTTTCCTTAAGAAGTGATAGATGGCTCTAATAATTCAATACAGATATTTCAGCTTTATATCTGTTCTAAAGAGACGAAGGAAAAGCCTCGTTTGAAGGCTGTGAATGACAGTGAAACAGCAGCCTTTTATTGTACTGTACAGGATGTGGGGGAGAGGATAAGACTAATAAGCCTGCAGGCAGCGGGAGCTCAGGCAGCATATGAGCTGATTTATAGTCTCAGGCTGTCTTTTAGAGTTGGAAGAGGACAGAGTGTTCACGTACATGTTGATTAAATCATTGTCTGAAATAAGCCTGTGTGAGCCCTCAGTGCAGTTTGTTGGTTTATTCATATAGTACGAACTTTACCCTTTATGCGACCCACAGATGTATCTGTGTTATTTGTCCGCAACACATTTCACACCACCGACCCAGTGTCATGTCAGGTTTTGGGCGTTCTGGTTAAGTCTTGAGAGGTTCTGTTCCCAAACATAGACTGTATGAAAGATGGACGTAGCTTCCGTGACGTCACCCGTTGGTTTCTGCACTAAGAAAATGAAGCCAGGGTTTTGCTACTTCCTGGTTGACATCTTGGATTTTTGGAGCCAGTGACGCAAAAATCGTCGGAGGGGGGCGGAGCCGTAGGAGCAGCGATTGGTCAGACGGATTGAGAGGCGGGCCCTCTCTGCCCGCCCACATTTACCGCCTTCTGCTCGCTTCATCTGAATCATCGCTGCCGACTGTCAATCAAGCCAGCCACGCCCCTTGCCCCGCAAAATGTTGACGATTTTTTTCAAATTGACCACCTGATCTCTGGATTTGACCATGAAAACTAATAAGAACAAAATCCTGAGCTGTATTTCGCAGTATTGCAGTATTTCGTGATCTGTGATCACTTCTTTTCCAATTCATTTCTATGGGAGCTAGCGGATGCAGGTTTTTGACACTTCCGGGTTGGCTTCACTTTTCAGGGCCGGTTGCTACGTCCATCTTTTATAGTCTATGTTCCCAAACAGCAACCAGTGGTGCAAGCTTGGACGCCAAACTCATCTCAAAGGTTTGACTGCAGATTGAACACAGGAACATATCGATCACATATGAAAACAACTCCAGTGTGAGGATTTAAATAAAAAGCATGTAGAATTGATACATAACCACAATACCAGAAATGTAGTCATCGGTTCTGGTACCACTGAAATTCTGTGACTGTGAGTATTAAATTCAATACCCCCAAAAACATCTATCAAGCGAATTTCTCATTCTTACACCCCTTCTGGGATTTAGGCCTTTGACAAGGGAACTCCAGGGAACCCACTCTTGGGTTATTTCTTCTAACTGGATCTAGTTGTACCGAAGCCTCTTCCATTATTGATCCCTTCACCAAGTGTTCTTTGGCCGGCCCTTTTCTACTCTTTCCTTGAGGGTTCAGGGCTTGTCTGCTGGTGTTTGTGCCTGATTTTTGTAAAGTACACCCAATCCAACACCATCTTCTTCTGGAAGTTGCTGTGTCCTCAACCATAGATTATTGTTACTGATCTTATCCGGCCAGTGAATCTTGAGAATCTGTCCTAAGAGGTGGTTGGTGAAGGTCTGTACTTTACTGGTTTTATATTAGAGTTTTGTTGTCAAGTCAATGTATTAATCCATAAGACTGAACAACTATACCAATAACATTTCCCAACATGAACATTTAATGACATGTGGTTGACAGAAGGTGACCAACTGCACTTCTTTCCATTTAAATACTGTGTACAGATTTTTGTGTTGTTACGTTTATAAGTATTGTCCATTCAAATCTTTCTTTCCCCACTACCAACAGGGCACATTTAAGGTGGTAATGCTGGTCATTTAGTCTGTCTTGCTGTTTTATGAAACCCACCTAGAAAAACTGCTCAGCAAGGGAAGATTGGGACCAGTTTCCTAAAAGCACATAAAGCCTTAGTCCTGTTGTAAATTGGCTAAAATGAGACTTTATCTGGGAATCTGACTCAACTATCCAGTGGTCAAGTCTTAGGTGATATAGTTGACAAAATTAAAAAATAAAAAATAAAAAGCAGCACCCTGATTTGGGTAGCGTTATGGTCCATTGATGAGGATTTCTACAGACTTCATGGACGTCAGTTTAACTAAAATATGAAGAGATGATTGCTATTCTCACATGAATTCAGGACATTTAAAAGTGTAAAGTTTACCTTTAAGTCTATATTTCTGTGCTGAGGTGGACTCGAGTTTCAGTGTGCCTCAACATGCTAAAGTCTCAATGATTACATGATTATACTGCCTTGGTTCACTTTTGTTTGTAGAGTCAAACCAATGTGGTAAATACTAATGCAGCGCCTTTGTTGTGTGACATTTGCAAATTCTGCACAAAGAAGGTGTTAAATGCTCTGAATGGTAGGGATGCATCCAACCTCCTGCAGTTGAAAGAAGGTGGCTTTAATCTTTTATCTTAATCGTCTTAAACATTTAGAGCTGTTAGTATTTTCTAACGTGCTTATTGTATTCTTCCTGTAACATCTGGATCATCACCTCACTTGATCTTTAGTCCAGATTTGCAGGAAAATACTCAGTTACACACAAAAGGAAAACCTACTTTTTTCCATTCACACAATAGATTATACAGCTCACTTGGGCATGTCCTGTTTGTCCCATACATCCTTTTTCATCCAGTAATACTTCAATTTGGCACAAAGCCTAATGTCCCTCGTGACAGCAGCCAGACACTTTGGGTGACAAATGGAGGCAAGGAAATGAAAATTGATGGAGTAGCCATGACTTTTTCATAAGCATTTTTTTAACATTTAATGTCTTCAGACCTCAAGATTATTTATTCCTCATCTGGCGCTGTCAGTGAACGCAGCATGTCCGGGAGAAACAGATGGGTCTGAGGGACAGGTGTGTGGACCTTGGCACGGTGAGATGATGCAGTGGACTGTCAGGAAAGTCATCACGAGTGAAAAACTTGATTCAGTTTGTCAGCGCTGGAGGATGTTTAAAGAAGCAGAGAGAAGCAGCATCAAAGTCCTTTTCTTGTTTTGCTTTTTTAAAAACTTCCGTTGTTTTACAGGGAAACGGACACGAGCGTGACTTTTTGGATGACAGGCGAGTGTTCATCATGGACATGTATAACCGCTACATCTATCCTGGAGACGGATATGCCAAAAGTAAGTGAAAGCACTGCTGATTTTCCCCTCAAACTTTTCTTTTTCTCACCTTTTAAATGCATGAGTCATATATTCCGTGAGGTTTGTGTGATTCCTGTTTTGTCGTGCACTTAAAAGAGGATGCAATCTGGCATCTAAAATAAGCCCGGCACTACTCCAGGGGTGGAGAGCGAGGTTGGAGTGGAGAAGGGACTGCCTCCCTCCCTTCCATCCCCTAGATGTCACTCAGTGCCATTTTAATTATGCTGTGATTTCCCCCAGCACTACTGCTCACTCTATTAGCACTCAGCGGGAAACGTACCACGCAGCAGCCCCCGCAATACCATAATCACAGCTTTTCCACAAATGAATCTGTCAATACATTAAAGCTGATCTGACAGCGACCGCATGCTACCATTTAACCCCGATTCTAACGATACTCCGCAGGCCGAATGTCACTGTGCCGCCTAAAGAATAAAAAAAAGTTCTCTCCATCCTTCAGCTATCTTCCTCGCTGCAATTAATTAAATTTAAGACATTCTATAATCATTTCTCTGCTCAAGAAATTAAAATAAATGTATATTCTGGCTTGTTTAAGATAACAGTCTCATTCGTCCTCATATTTTTTCCTCCAAGACACATTTATTTCCTCGCACCTTCAAAGACCGAAGCTCACAATTTGTTCTTGAAAGTCCTCTTGGAAAAACTACCAAGAACTCCGTTTTACATGCCATTGCGCTGTTCTTTCCTGCTTTTGCGGCTTAGTTGTGTTTGAACTTTGGAACATAAAGGTCTCCTAATTAACCTTTTTCATCGTTTGCATTAATTATTATAAATGTACATAGTAATTAATTAAAGCACCGCTGCAAAAAAAAAGATGATTGTATAGGTGGAAAAACACAATTACCTACCTGAGCGTTGTGCAAGAATTCAAATTAAAATTTATCAAAAATTCTTTTCACCGCCTTTGTTGAGAAAAATCCTGTTTTGTGAAATACTGCAGCAATTACTGCATGACGTGTATGTGAGGCTTCAGCTGCATATGACTGCTGCTACTTTACATTGTGTGGTTTTATCGGTGGCAGCCGCAGCTTCATTCATATTTCTGTATCTCCAGGAGCCATAAAAAGGAAGGTGGAGCTGGACTGGGGCACCGAAGACTCAGAGTACCTTCAGAAGGTGGAACTCCACTCCGAGGGAGCTCTGAACGAGATCCGATCCGATATCATCGTTTATAATGCAGGGACTGACATCCTGGATGGAGACCCCCTCGGAGGACTCTCGATATCGCCACAGGTACCGCACCAGCCCTGTCACGTCAATTACTTCATCCACTTCATACTGGGATTTCAGAATATCAGTGCCAATACCCTCGCTTGCAGTGTGTGCGAGTTTCCTGGTAACTGCCACAGTGGAGGTTTGTCAGAGCTCATATTTAATATGGACATCCTGTGGTGCTCACTGACACACATACGTGGACGAGCTCAGATGTTTTGTTGTTTTGATTTAATTTCCTTATAATGAAGAAATAACCAAGCATACAGTGTTGCAATTACATTAACATGGCAGTAAAAATAATAATAATCCAATCACAGGGTCTAAAAGAAGAAATAAAATTAGTAAAATGAGAAACTGGGTTACCTAAAAGCATGTAGCTCTACTTTACCTTAACACACATAACCTTTACATTTGTTCTATCTGCTAACATTTAACATTTAATTCCCTCCAAACCCTAATAATTGGAATTTATCGGATGTATGTCAGCCCCTTCAAGATCATTAATATTACATGATAAATATCTGTAAAGGTTCTAAATGAGGAGCCGTATAGGCCGTAATTCATTCTCACACTTACATACATATAGTTTCATTCTCACATCCATAGATTCTTACTCTCACACACATATATTCTCCTCATACATTGTGTATTTGTCCTCTTTTTGTTGTTTGCTTCGTGTCCGTCACTTTCACTGACACAGGAAGTTGTTCCCTGTACAGGAAGTAACTCTCAAACCAGGAAATTCTTGAACAAGACTCGCTGAGCAGGTCCAGATGTAGTAATAACAGACAGAAGAACATAACACAGTGATGCTATTCAAATTCATTGTGATCTCTTCTCTACTGTTTTTCACTTTGGAAGTAAGAAGCAATGAAAATCATCGCCCATTTCGTGCAGCAGTGGAGCCAGTTGCTGAATGAAAATATGCACATTGCCATTTGAATTTAGCCAATCGGTATCCGCCAAACTGTTCTTCTATCACCCCAAGCAGAGTCCCTCATCACTGACAGTGACAAATGCAGAAATCCAACACCCAGGACTTCAGCTGCCTCCTAATTCAATAAAATCGCTCCTGAATTTAATGAAAGAAGAAACTATGAGTTAAATAGCTTTAACCAGACGTCTTAATCAGACAGCAAGACACACACAGCACCAAAAAAGCTGACAAACACAGAAATTAGTATCTATGGAAATGCATCACAGCAGATCACCAGGTATTGTATGTTGTTCTACCATTTAAGTGTTTGAATTCAGCTACTAAATGTTTTTTATGATCAGAGTGAGGACACCCGGGATCTTTCTGTGTGGAGTTTGCATGTTCTCCCCGTGCAGCGTGGGTTCTCTCCGGGTTCTCCAGCTTCCTCCCACACAGTCCAGAAACATGTTGAGGTTAATTGGTGATTCTAAATTGTCCGTAGGTGTGAATGTGAGTGTGCTTGGTTGTCTGTCTCTAAGTGTAGCCCTGTGATAGACTGGTGACCTGTCCAGGGTGTCCCCTGTTGGGATAGACTCCAGCACTCCCCTTGACCCCAGTGAGGACTAAGCGGTGTATAGATAATGGATGGATGGAATATTTTTCTGCATATTTTCCTGCTTAACTAAATCTATATTTTGTTCTGTCAAATCAGTCTGTTTGTGCCGTGGGTTCAGTGTGTGTGGGTGTTGAAATGCTTTCGCTTGTTTTTAATTGGCAGCATCGAATTAGTAAAAAAAACAAAACACTTTTGATAAATGGACTGCATTTATTTGCATGTTTTTGATTCCTTGCATTAAATCACACTGGGGTTGTTACTCTGATGCGACACAGCTGCTACTGGTGTGTAAAAAAAAAAAACAGTTTTATATATAATATTGTTACTGCATGATCAAAAATGAATGAGATGAGTGGTGAGAAGATGTGATTTTAATGGTTTGGGCTCGGTGGAGGTTTGGGAAAGACTCTAAGGCAAAATAAATTACTTTAGCACACTTTAATTTGTTTGTCTTTAATCAGTGCTACATACAGAAATATGCACGATGTTCAGTCACAACCAACCAATCTGTCACAGTCCACTTATTAGTTTGTGTTGAGCTCTAGGACATCAGGGCTGTCTGAGGCAAATGCTGAATATCTTTCTAAAAAAAGTGTGTGACTGTGGAACCAGCTGGGTCGGGTCATGTGAGCGCCTCACGCAGCTAATTTGTCAGGAAACTTTAAAATCACACTGAGAGCTGATACAAATGAACCAAATTTGGATTTATTGCTTCCTGTGTGCAGAGATTTCCTGCCACTGATCCTGCAAATTCCAGAAAATAATTGGAGCAAATAAGTTGAATCTGCAGAATGTGTCGGTCGGAGGGGGCGGGTGGGTGTGTTGGTGCTACACTGGTGTGATAATTTGTGAATCGAGCTGGCAAATGGCCTGAAATGCAGCTTTAATAATTGTTGTTTAAGGTTCTGGTTGAACATGTGTTTCTGTCATGCCTAATAACGTTTAGTATCACTCCTCGTGTCGCAAAACGCTCCGTAATAAATGAGATTTCTGAAACAAGCTGTTCCCAGTTTGAATCCTTAGATAAATAGGGATGTGCGCTTCTTTTAAGCAAGCAGCCTCCCATATGTGACCGGCTCCACAAATTCCCCTCCGTCCTCAGGGCAGAAAGAGGAGAGTAGATAGAAACATCAGTCACTGAATTCACAGAGGTTACTGTGTGACGGTGTGGACAGACTCTTCTTTCCTCTTGTCTGCCAGGGAATTGTAAAAAGAGACGAGATCGTGTTCAGGGCTGCGAAGCGGCGGGGCATCCCCATACTCATGGTGACATCCGGGGGATACCAGAAGAAAACAGCCCGCATCATCGCCGACTCCATCCTCAACTTGCACCGTCAGGGCCTGATTGGAGCCGAGGCCGTGGAGGGGGAGGGATCGTCGTCGTCGCTGGTGACCCACATGATGCGCGGCTCCGGATCGGCAGGATCGACGTTCACTGCCGTCTGAGGGAGCATCCGTCACGGAGATAACGCTCACAGGTGTGACATTTAGAGGCACTGAAGTAACTTTATATCGCGCAATTACTGTGCGGCAGCAGCAGCGACGACGACGGTATTCTGCTGTTGTTGTTGTTGTTGTTGTTGCACAGAAATGTGTTGTTTAAAAGTTTATGATGTGGTGGGAAGTGGTGTTAGGCAAAAAAAAAAAAAACATAAAAATATTCATGAGCTTTGGTACATTTGTACATTTTTTATGCGGAAGTTGACAGACACTCAAAGGGAATAATCGTTCAAAGAGAAAAATTGTACTAAAACAATAGCATTCTCATGGCTGCATCTGATTTCACGAGCTCTCATGTGCCACAAAAAAAAAAAAAGAGCTGTTTAAATTTTAATCACTTGGAAAGTAATGGGTTTTATGTTTAATGTATGTTTGGGGCAGCGTTTGAGAGGTATTTTTTCATCTCAGGAAATACAATAATGTTATTTATGGAGCATATGATGTATTGAGGTTTGATTTACTTACACATACATTGAAGGAATATTAACTGTCCTCCATCGGTTTGTAATGATGGAAGAGAAATATGAAGGTAACTGCAGATAAAAACTGTCAAGCTTAATCAAATGTTGATGTTTAACCTTCTAACTGAAGATCATATCTTTTATTCCTCATTTTGTTTTCACATTTATACTATATATTGATGTTAAAATGAATCGTGTTCCATTAATTAAGATTTGTTTTAATGTGATCTCCTTTAAATCCACTCTGATATCTTACAGTTAATGTTTACATGGGGCCCTGTGTGATTCTTATAGAAGACGCTAAAATGGTTTGTTTCTACATTCGAACAGATTAAAATCAGTCAAACATGTGACTTTAAGCACTTTAACCGTCGCACAGTGAAACAGAAATTCACCAACATTCTCAGACTCCTGAATCTGATGCTGATGATCGATGTGGGAGCGTTTCCACATCACGTCCAAAAACCAAAGTGTTTGGTTCGTAAAGCGGCCTGCACAGTGGAGCGCGTCACGGGGTTCGCTTCTGATTGGTTGCAGAGCTCCTCTAATGATGTTTACATGTATAGAAGGTGTGTCGATCAGTGTGATCACTGCAGCAGCTGGAACAAAATCACAGCTTCCAAAAGACACGAACAACGTCATGCAATACGAGCTAAGTTGTGCACAGCTGCGTGTGTGTCGAACCGCTTTAGAGTTCGCTGCTTGAACATTTGGTTGAAGAATTACTTTGGTTTCTTACAACCTGTTTGTGTTTTGTTGTTAATTTTTTTTGACATTTGCTGAGAAATTGCCGAGATCTGAGAATGTGGCAAAGATCACAAAAACAAAGCTTTGGTGCTGCAGAAGCTCAGTTCCTGGAAAACAGCGACAGAAAAATGGCTCCTATCAAATATATCTAATGAGTTTTTCCTATTTCACGGCATTTTCAAACAATCTTATCCCTCTTAGCCTCCGTTACTTCTACGAGCTGTTCAGATCCTCCTTGCATACGCAGCGTCATTCAGTCCAGTCATAATGAGATCTGCAGCTTTTATTTGAACCAGTCCAAACGGAATCACAGATATCCTATAACTAACAAAAATCAACAGATTCTGACTAATCAGAGTGTAACTCCGACTTGTCAGAATTATGCCGTTCGTATCTAAATTTAACTCTGAATAGTCGGACTATTAAATATTACAACACGTCTCAGCGTCTGACTGCTCTGGGGTTTTTGTCCCATCAGATTGTTGCAGTGTTTCTAGATGTCAGCAGTTCCTGACGTGAATACAAAGTGTCTGATAATCAAAACCCAAGTAGTAATAACACCACAAAAAAGCCTCAATTCATGCTTTTGGAAGCACAGTTTGGATTTTTTAATTCAAATGTATCACTCTCTGGGTAGATTATCTCCATTTCTGACACCGAGAAGACTGAATTTAAAGACGCATAACTCATGACTAAGCTCCAGTAAAAGACAGGACATGTAATCTCGTCACTTTGTTATCGACACCCTGAGGGACGCTTGCACCCATGTTCACATGTGGAAGCTGCACCGCACACCGGGAGATGTAACGCTGGCGTCTGAGTACCTAATGCTACTTTTAATGTGGCCAAGGAGATTTTAATAATTAAACCACATCCTCTGCGGACTTTGTCTGCCGTTGCATCCGACGTGTTTTGCTGTTTTGCGGTTGAGTGGACCTGAAGTGGCAGCTGGCAGGTGGCGCCGTAATGATTTTTTTCTAATGTATTTTCACATTCATTATCTTCCACTGCTCTGGCTTCACTCTACAGTTAAAAAAAAAGTAGAAAAGTTGGGACTGGAATGCAGACTTGTGATTATTTAAAGGATGAAAAAGACCTATCTTTGAACAGTGGTGTCGGGGTGCTTATCCAGGAAGCTGTTTGGACACATTCATAATGAAACTGTGAAAGGAAGGCCATATTAGCGGTGTCAGTGCTAATTAGCTAAAGCCTTTGATCTGGCGTGCTGCTTTTGAATGCATCTAAAAAGGTTTTAGTGCAGTCTACCTTTAATTAGGACTATGTGACTTATTGTTTGCAGTCTTGTCCTTAACACATGATGCCATCCCAGATTCATGAGCTCCTTTCTGTGTCGGCCAACGTTTTAACCGTTGATTGAATGTCGCGTGCCAAAAATAACACTTCAGAGCTGTACTGTATATTTTTTAAGTGTTTGTGGATTGTGCTGACATTGAAAACTACTTCTATGCATTCATGACGACATTGAATAAATCCTATAACAACCAAAAGTTCTGTTTTGCTTTTTTTTTTTTTTTTAAATGCTGAAATTCTTTGTCCTGCTTATATTAAATCTTTAGTATATTTAGAAACTAAAAAGGATCCTGTTGCATAGTTTAGCATTTTAGCTTGTTTTCTCAATACCGTCCTGTACGATGCACCAGAAATCAAAAAGTTGTATATGAAGGTCAGTAAATAAACACCTTTATGGAGCATTTTGATGCATCCTGCTGGTTTTGATCTGCACAGTTTTGCCAAGTTTGTATAAAAATATAAAATACACATTGTCTAAGGAAGGGTGGAAGTAGGTGGCTCCATCAGAAGATGCTCATCGATCTCTGCAGATTTTAATGCTTGTTGCTACAAGTTTCAGCCATGCTAAATTTCCCAAATGATGTATACCAGAGGTCCCCAACCACCGGGCCGCGGACCGGTACCGGGCCGGGGGTCAATTGGTACCGGGCCGCACAGAAAGAAAAAAAAAAACCCATTTGATTGGTTTATTTTTACTTCCAGTGGAGTCTGCAGGGTGTTTTATTTTGACAAACGACTAGCTCGTCTTCCCGTTGCGTCCGTCTTGTTTCTCGCACTTGACTCTTATTAGTTTTCACGCTCGGCCGTTAAACGAAGCCGTCAGTCGAACTGCTGCCGAAATTAATAAAAAACAAGTATCTTAGCTGCTCTGGAAAGAGACTCGATACTAAGACGGAAGAAAAGTAAACATGTATTTAACAAGTAATTTTATTAATTTATGAAACTTTTTAATAGTAGAAACTATTATTTTTTGCTGTGTGCGCGATGACCGGTCCGTAGAAAATGTTCTTGCTTAAAACCGGTCCGTGGTGCAAAACGGGTTGGGGACCACTGATGTCCACTACTGATCAGAGATTCCCTGACTTTCTATCAGGCACCACCATGAGTACTTTCCAAATATTTCATCTATTGGGTTGAAATGTTTGATTCATGTCCTCGAAATCAGCTGTACTTATGCCATCAAGTTAGAATCCTGTCCTTGTTGCTTCACTGGAATTAGCAAATGTTAGCAGTAAGAGTTAAAAAAAAAACGGCCAAACCTATAAAGAGTGAGCCAATCTCGTCATAACTCTTTGTCAAGCCAAGGAGGTGCTGCACGGTTATTTCTGTGTAGATTCAGGCTGATGTGACATTCAAAGAGACCATCATCCCTGTAATGTCATGACCACTCGCAGGGCTCGATGGCGAACTGCCGGCGAGTTAACCGACACTAATAGAAGCTCTCCAAGCTAACGAGCTCTGCAGCAGTCAGTTTGAACGCGTCTCGGCTTCATTGGCTGCACTTGGTCGCCAACTGTGCGAGTTCACACAGGTCATCCGAAAGAAAAATTTGTTCCATCAGCTCCCAATTTCAAACCGTTGCTCCGATGTGAAGCGATTTACTCTCTGACAGAGGAAGTTAAATAAAAATCAATGGTGCTGCACAGCCAACGAGTTACAATAGTTTCCCTTTGGATGCTCCAGACGTCTGCGCCTTCGTAGCTCAGCCGTCAAAAGAGCGACCCATAAATCATTTCCACCATTACGTTATACTTTCTGATTAGAATGTCTCCTGGGCGGAGGATTTTCAGGCATGTCCAACTTGACGGAGACCGTGCGGTAGATCCAGAAGTCACTGGATGGATCCCATATTTCATCTGGGCCAGAAACGTCTTGGGATGAACTGAAAAACGGTCCTTGAGAGAGGAACATCTGGAATGCTGTGTTTAGCCTGCTGCCACTGTGACCTGAGCGCAGATAAGTGGAAAAAGATGGATGGATGATGAGTTTTGAGTGCATGGAGGTTGCATATTTGTCAAACCGTTCCAGTACTGGGATTTAAAAAACAAAACAGAAGCTTGAAAACCTTATGCACAATGAAGCAGTTGCCACTTAAGTGAGCGGGTGCCATCTTTGAGTCTGGCATTTGGTTCTCCTTAATAGATCCATGGTCCAGGCCTTTAGACAAGCAGCAGGTAGCCAAAGGAAGAGCATGGGCTGGTAGCAACCCAAAGAGATAGCATCCATCATTGAGTGCGTTACTAGACTTCCCAGTAGTTTCACAAATACTCCATATCCAGTAAAAAAAAATAAAGGAGAAAAACCACCTCCCAATCAAAAACACCAATCCACAGGACCATGTCAAATTCTACTTGGAAGTTATTGTACTTGCCACCCTATGTTGTGCTGATAGGACCTTACTGGGGTTATATATGTTATAGCAGTCTAAGGCCAGGACATCATTCCTGCTCCCTCTTCAGAAACTCACTGCAATCTCTCTCTCATTAATCTTTTTTTGGGGGGAAAAAAAAAGAAGCTTGTTCCTGCAGTTTACGTTGAGGCGGATCATCACTTACAACACTCGCAATAAGAAACCGAGGCCTCTGTAATGTTGAACAATTACTTTCCGAGCGCAGAAGTAACTCCCACCCCTCCTGGACCGCTTCATAACTTTTGTCCCTATCACACAAATGCTTCTTCTAAAGCCCTCTGGTTGTAGTTTCCGATACTTAAAGGCATTCCGTCATCTCCGTCTTGCTGCTATTACCTACACATCTGAATGAACTCAGCTCGCTCAGTGACTTATGTTGGGGAAATGGTGTTTATTAAAGACCCACAAAGAAAAAAAACAGGAATACAAGCATTGAAAAATGTTAGGTGGGATTTTAAATGTGGTTTTCTTATTTCTAGAACAAAACTGGACAAGTTTCTGTTTGACTTTAAACCCTCTATAGCGTATGTTGTAGTAAGGAGGTGCATTAGAAGCTGAAAACAACAGCTTCAGCATAATCACCATCCTGTATGACACAGAACCAATTGTACTAATGAGCTTATTAATAATGCTAGTTGGTGTGTGAATTAGTGCATATTTAAGAGCAGGAGTTTATTAAACAGCAGCTCTGGAATGTAATGAGGAAGCTTGTGCGGTGTGTGGAGGTATCATCGAGGTATTCTCACAAACACACAGACATCATTTCATGCAGACCGAGCGCTGGTGAGTTGGGACAAAGCAAGCTTGCAGTAAGCTTCATTAAACCTGATTCCCTGGCTGCGTGCCTGGCTCCTGGACGGCATCTTACCTCGGATGAACCGCTCCGGAGGTTCAGCTGGACGCGGGCCGAGGCTGCGCTGCTCTCACCGCCTCTCCGGATGAACCAACCCGAGTGCAGGATGCGCGGCGCTCCATCAGCGGGCCCCGAATCAGGCCGGGGCTGGAAACAGCGTTACGACAAGTGAACAAAAGCTCCGCTCAGTATGATTTACTGTCACCGTGGTAATGAAACCCTTGTGTGCTTTGACTGGATTAAAGGAGCACTCTGCCGATTTTACACATGGAGTTAAGTTTATTCAACTCAACCTGTGAACAGACCGACTTCAGAGCTTTGTACAGCAGAATTTATAAAGAAATTCCCCAGATTAGCTCAAAGCGATGTCACTCTCTCAGCTTGGAACAGAAAGTTTACTTTGCAAATTGGCAGTTTCAGGTGTTAAAGAAGTTTACAGGGCAGGGATGGTCTAACTCAGGGGTGTCGAATCCTGGTCCTCGAGGGCCACAATCCTGCATGTTTTAGATGTTTCCCTCTTCCAACACACCTGATTCCAATGATCAGCTCATCATCAAGCTCTGCAGAAGCCTGATAACCATCCTGATCATTTGAATCTAAAACATGCAGGATTGTGGCCCTCGAGGACCAGGATTCGACACCCGTGGGCTACTTAAATGCCCTCTTGAGTTGCATTGTGGGAATTGTAGGATTTAGTGTTTTGACCCATGCTAGACCAAGCAGAGACTTCCATGGTTGAAAAAATGAAGCCAACATGGACGTTTACAAATTTACAAATTATTATAGATCGGCACAGAATCAAGGCCGCTGTACAAATTACCAGAGTTTCCCAAGTAAAAATAGTCCTGTGCAAATAGAGATGAGATCGCAAACACGGTGGATATTCTATTTATTGGACATCAGCATGGTGAGAATGTTAGCATGCTGATGTTGACAATTACCGTAAATTCCGGACTATAAGCCGCTACTTTTTTCACACGCTTTGGACACTGCGGCTTAAACAATGATGTGGCTAGTTTATGGATTTTTACGAATTTGCCTCGAGACGAAAGTGATATTGAGAGCCACAATGAAAGAGAGACTGAGGAAGTGTGTGACGAAGGAATTCTGTTCAATTCCGACACTGAAGAAGACGACTTTAGTGGTTTTACTGCGCAGGAGGAAGATGAAGACAGCGATCAATGACTTTTCCTGGTAGGCTGCTGTATCTTTTATTTTTTTAACCAGCCGTGTTACAGGCACTGTTCAGAAAAAAGCATTTACGGGACGTATTTGTGCATATTACCGGTACATCATTTATTAAAAGTTTAAAAAATCTTTCTGCGAAACATCTTTCTGTGTAAATATCTCATGTTACACACCTGCAGCTTATAGACAAGTGCGCTTATACATGTACAAAACTTGTTTCTTTATAAAGTTAGTGGGTGCGGCTTATATTCGGGTGCCTCAATAGTCTGGAAATTACGGTAGCTCAAATCAGCACTGTCTCCAAATGCAGCCTGACAGTACAGCTAGCATTATGAAAATGCACAAACTG